TTTTTCATTTTGGAACAGATTGGATGGCGTTTACAAGAGAGATTTTCACATGTCCCAGATATGTCACTTGTCACAGCTCATATTGATAGAAAGAGAAACAAAGCAACCACAGCCTCCCTTTTCCAGAAATCATGCTGTGTAAACAATGTTTTTATTTCCTGACTGTCTTCATTCCATAGCTTATGAAAATAGTATCACATCTGGAGGGTTCTGCAATCAGCTCCTCTGGCACCTGTAAAGACAACAATGGGTAGACAGTTAAGCAGCTTCTTCCAAAGAGCCATAAAGCTGCTGAATTCTGAGATTGCCTCAGCATATTAGGGGTGGCAATGTGAAATACACTGTTTACTAATATGTGCAATATATGGTTTTCTGCTGGACATTGTGCAGTAATAACTACTCAAGTCAGATCTTATTGAACGATTATTATAAGGATGTTATTTTATATTTCTTGTTGAACTGTACTAACTTTTTTGGCAAATTCTAATCCACCAAACAAACTCAGAGGCAGCCCAGCTACCTGTCTGCAGGCATAACGCGCATTATATGCTGACAAAAAAGTTGGATGTAAATCTCTGCAGGTAGCCTACAACAGCTGTTCTGCCGAATTATGCATCCACCTCTTAAGCTCCTTTTCAGAAACGTCGCTGATCAAACACAGTTATCACCTCAGATTGTTTGCTGAATCTCAAGACATGCTACATCTACTAAGTGTATTAACTTATTGATGACTCTAAACTGCCTTTAATATGTACTTCGAAGCAATATCACCCTAATGTCTAACACTAAGGTTAATCTAATAATGTTACATTTTGGCTTCTCTCTTCTTGCTGACTTGTCTTTGACTCATTAAAAGCTGCGGTTAGAACACACTAACTTACTTACTTACACTAACTTAACAGCTTGGGGCTGCTCGTATCTGGCTAATTAGCGCAAAGAGCTAACGTTAAGCTAACAAGCTATATGCCGAAAGCGATACCTGTTAAATGTTAACACATAAATAAAATACAGGAATTTCACTCACCAAGTAGAACACTGATCTCCTGGAGGTTCTCTCTCCAATGAAGTGCACAGCCTGCCATTATTCATCCAGTATCTGCATGTAGAAATGGCCAAAGGGCTCCGACAGGCTTAGCCTCAGAGCTTATTCAAACAGGTGAGTTAGGCAAAATTAGCTATATGCACTAAAACCATTTTTTGAACCAGGCTGTAAACATGTTTTATTCAGCTGTAAAGTTGGGCATTTTAATATGGGGGTCAAAGAGATTGAGTCCCTTCTGCAGCCAACCCTAAAGTGGCCACTCAATGAATTGCAGTTTCAGATGCTTTCATATTGGCTTCAGGAGGGAGACCGGAAGTTTGCCGCTTGGTCGAAACACAGCTTTAGGTCATCTTTCGATGGCCTTAACCTAGAACAACAAACTGTCTTGAAACACCTATCTCATTTGAATCTATTACAATTCATGAGTTGTACTCTAAGGGAGGCATTTTGTTCTTGTAAAACTTCTTGTATGACTCAAGAAAACTCCGATAATCCTTAGCGTGACGCCTAAGCTACTGTCCCTGCCTTATTAGTGTAACTGGCGTCTCCCCAACATGGACAGTTACATAAGAGAAATAGAGGTAGAAGGTCAGTGAACACTTGTGGGGTCAGCTAATGACTCCAAGCTAGACCTGTCCAGCTAAACCCCCTGTTACGTCCCCAGCTTGTCTATGTATGTGAGACGGACAAAGAGAAAATTAAACCAGGTGGAAAAACACGCATCAAGTTAATGTATTTATTCCAATCAAAGTAACAAAAAGGTGTTTAATCAATTAAAAAATGATCTTTGCCCACACCAGAGACGATATTAATTATATTAAGTAAATTAAATAACACAGGATATGCAACTTCTTTTTTCCATTTTGAACTGAAGGGACCCTTTTTTTCTGTTACACTCATGTGTAAATTATCTAAATATATGAACACACTGTGAATATGTTTATTACAAGTCATATAACTGTTCTTTTGGTCAACAAACTGAGTAAAAAAGTAGGTCAGGTTCTGGTAGAAGCAGACTGTAAACAGCCCTCTAAATCAGCTCTGTCAGCTCTTCTATTGTCTCCATACATGGGTGTGAATTCCTTGAATCTTACCACTTCAAGCCAGCAGGCATAGTCATTGGCACGTGTGGGCATACCCCTTCTAACAGCATTGAAAAGGATAAAGCGAAACAAAGAAGAAAACATGCTGTATAAACAGTCTTTATTTCCTGACTGTCTTCATTCCATAGTTTATTAAAATGTTCACCCTATCCATGAGAAACATGCTGTGCAGTGTAATTATTCTTTCTGCATGTGTGAAAATAATAGAAAATACTAAAAGTATTGCCAGAAAACACACTCATTCACACACATGCATACACTGATGGAACAGCCATCACTGGAAATTCTGGGTTTAGTATTTTGCCCAAGGACACTTCAACATGCTGCCTGAGGGAGCCGGGGATTGAAGCTCACCAGAGCTTGCCCTAATTAAAAGCTTTATGTGGAGATGGTGTCTGCCTCGTTAACCCAAACTGAACCCTTGTTCTATAAGAGAGGAGCTTGATAGCTAAAGCTATGTTTCTATCATTTTATACTTTTTAGTTAGTGACTGAGTAGCTGAGCATAAAAATATACATCTTGTGTCCAAACTCCAAACAGGGAGGTTGATACCGCAAGTTAAAGAATTGGTGACAGGGGGAGACCTCAGCCTGCAGCTACAACAGGGAGTGAATGAGAGACGACTGAGACTTTCCAATCAATTGAGGATCAGAGATAAAAAAACTAAATGTCCACTGAGCAGGATTTTGACATTTTGAGGGAGAAAAGGCATGTGGCTACATTTTGGTGCCTTTTTAGTGCTTATGGAGATAAATATAAGCAACTGGCAGCAGTTTACAAAAACAATTCTGGTCTGCAAAATCCTCCTCTCTCCTCTACTAAAAGCTGAATACAACATACAAGAAGATCAACATATTTTCTGTAACCTACAGCTCAAATGGAGTCTGTAGCTACACATATGCCGGAGCATTTAGCTGTTAAAGTTAAGTAGGTTGGAAGAAAGTTGAGTCTCTTGCTCCCATTGAAACCCATTCATTTATTTCACATAAAAATATTAATATAAAATCAACCATTACAGATATTAGCAAGGCAGGTAATAATAAATAAATAATAAAGAGCATTATACCATGATTTTACCAATTTGAAGTGGGCATATTATCATCAAACAATAATAACATTTTCAGTTTCAACATCTGACAAGTTGTTTTTGTGCTATTTTCATTTTAAAAAGCCTGTGTACTGTGTGTGTGTAAACATGGTCGGTTGCACAGCCACAGAGGACACACTATCTCTTCCTATTAAATATAAGTGACAGTGCTCTGATAACAGAAATCTCACAGAAGTTCACTGTATCGCAACACGACTTTGTCTTACGTAATGTAATACTTACCTAAAAGATCTAAGCACTTTTTGAGAATGTCCTATATAATGGCTATTTTTTCTTACTAGAAGAAAATATCTGAGCTTTTTACAAAACCCTGCTGAGAAACATTCTTATAGTGATGGATGCACGTGACTTGCAATAAAACAACTGAGACAATGGGCGTTTCTTGTGTTGACAACTTTATTTGTTCACAGAAAGCCTGAGCAGTTTCTTTCTCATTATTTTAAATTTGTGCAGGGTTCTTCCCAGCAGGAAATAAAGCAGATTAAATTAGCTCCACCGCATCCAGCTACAACTAAAGTTGGGCAATCTCTTTTTTCATTTTGCCCAATTATGGCTACTAAAAGTCACCAATAGGCGATCCTGTAGCAAGGCGGCCGTGGTACATAGCAACATGCCAGTGAAATGTATTTGGGCCTATTCTTATCTTTAATATCACAATGCAGATCACATCCGTAACTTAACTACAATGCGGAGTGTCAGATCCACAGAAAGAGAAGGCAGGCAACTAAGAATGTAACACTTACTCCTGCTTATTAATTGGGTTCAGCTGGCGGACATGTGCTCCTCCAGAAACATCTCTCAATAGAAAGTAGGCCTACAGAATGATGGTGCAACTGTGGCTGTGCACACGCAGGGAGAGAGGGAGGTGGGGTGCGTGGAGTCGATATTGACTAGCAGCTACACATGGCTGACAACCGAGGTGTATTCTAACTTTAACACAGCAACCATTATTAGCTAGACTCCTTGCTTGCTGACTTATAACTTATTTGAGGGTGGGTCTCACACATTGTGGAAAGAACATAGATAGACTAACTTCTCAGAGTTAAGTTGAAGGCTCTAGTTTTGGAGAAATTTGAGGAGTGTTGTTCATGATACTTCCGTTCAACTCTGGATTGATTCAGGAATCTTCTTTGCGCAGAGAAGCTGGCACCAATTTTCCCTCCAGCCCATGATCATGTTTTCATTTGACGTTGCACCAAAAGGGGCAAATATGATTTTACCCATTTTAAATAGGAAAAAATCAATATGTGGTGGTCAGCATTGACTCTGACTTTCTGAAAGGCGAACGAACAGATGTGCTGAGTTTCAGACAGTAAAAGTGAGTGGGTCCAATATCATCATTGTCTAAGGACAATGTCAGGGTAGCTTCAACCCCCCTAAAGAAGGCCAATCATGCCTATAATGCCTATAATGAAAATTGCAATACAAATAAATTTATAATTGTTATTATCAGAACAAAAAGGTTTAATCTGTAACACATCATATTTTTTAAGGTTTATTATGTTTGTTTTTAATGTCAAACCATAATCTAAAAATGTTACTAGTTACTACAGGTGGTGAACAGGAAAACCTCTAGTACTCCATTATTGAACTCAAGAAGAGTACTAGAAAATGTACTTAGCTTAGATACGTGGCATTTTTCATGTTTAGTGAAACAGGTGAAAGGTGAGATGTTGGGCGTGTCGTTGGACAGGTGAGCTTGTGTTGGAGGTAGGGAGGGAGAGAGGGAGGGATGGGAGAAGAAGAGTATAAATGCAGCTGCATTTCTGATGATTGCAGCTGATGACTCTGACTTCAGCGATGGCTTTCTGCAAAGTGATCTGTGTGGCAACTCTGCTGACTCTCCTGTCACAAGGTAAGAACCCTCCTCACTGATTTAGAAGAAAATTATGATTTCTAATTTTAATTAAATGCATTTGTTTAAAATTATATAATTATTATGAAAAACATTGCAACAACATCTATGTGTAGTTTTTTGAACTTCATCTATGTACCCTATGTCACACCTGTAATTAGGGCTTCTGATTGAGAAGACAGCATGAAACAGACACAAAATCTTTCTCTTGCAGAAAATTCTTAAATAAAAATTTAAGTTTAAGTGGATCTAGATTTGAGATGTTTTATTAAGTGGTAAACTCCATCTCCATGTAATAAGACCCATTGAAGTCTATAAGCAAACCCCTGATTGGTGTGAATGCTGTGAATGTTCTTGTACACAAGCCTTAAGTACCATCAGGTGTTACATTTTTCATGTATTTGCAAAGTACAGAAGTCGGAGAGAAAGTAATTAGAAGCATGAATAGTGCTGTCAAAATTCTGAAACATCACTATAAACACATGAGTGCTGCAGGGGAGGTGTTCACTGTGGTGCTGAAATGACAAATGACAAAATGTACAATAACCTCACAAATCAGGGCAACTCCATTCCTCTTTGACAGAAAGACAAGATATTATGGCAAATAACAGAAGAGCGCTGCAATACTTACCAACAAAACAATGTCCTGACAACTGGCCAGCTACAGCAACACACACAGTTTAAAACCCACAAGCACATAGACCGTTGATGCTCAGTGGCAACCTGACCGCAAAATGATAAAAGCATTTTAAACAGGGGCACTACGGCAAATAAGATTAAGCCAAACCAAATACCTTGAAAAAGCACTTACTTACCTGTTTGAATTGTATCCAGCTTTGAGCAAAATCTTCAACAACGTCCTTGGTAAAAGATCCAAAACAATCTAATTTGTTAGTATGCCACCCTCTGCTCCCGTTCCTTGCTCTCCTGTCTCTACTTGTCACAGCTTGCAGGTGTGCTCTGCTGATCTGCTTGTCAGATTTTGGATTTCACCCATTGACTGATTAAAAAAATGATTGTCTTCATGTCACATGATCAAATGGAAACTTGATCTTGAAAAAGATTGGGAAACATTATACACAAATTACCCAGCAATCATCATAGCATACACAGGCCATGAGAATGAATACCAAAAAAAATACAATACAATACCAAAGACAATATTTATTCTGTGGAATTTTTGTAATATATTACAGACTTTTTTGGGGTAAAACTACTGACTGACACCATGACAAAGGTGGATTTGCACATTTGACATTTATATATATAAACGTATCTTTGATGTTTTTGACATTATTTATGTAGAAAGTGACGTGAAAATCTAATGTTTGATGCATGAACATTTTGTAAGTATGTAGCTCAACATCAACATTTTCCAGAATAATTTGTAGGCTAATAATAATAATCATGAAGCAACCTGTCTTGCAGGCTAATCACTAATATTGCTATATTTTGGTTCACCTGACGTTTCGGTTTCCCACCTCCGATGAAAAAAAAGTGCGCTTGTCTCATCTAGTATGCCGTCGCAAACAGTTTGTGTGTCTGTCAGAGTGTGTGAAGGGGAAATCAGCAGAACAATAATGAAAGCTAATGCACAGCAGAGTACAGGGCAGGTAGATTTCACACTTTTTTTTTTTCACACTCAGGCTTTTCAACAGATAGTCATTCATAATTTGAGCTAGAAACTCCATTCAAATATCAAAATGTCCCACATCTTTCCTACTAATTCTTACACTCACATGGAAATTCCATCAAACTTTAAAACTTTCACAAGCCATTGGATTTTCTCAAGTTAATTCAACTTTTTCACACAAAATAAACTTTTTACTTAGTCGGAAGTCATCTTTCGGCCCTTTCCTGACTTTAAAATGAGTGTGTATTGGACAGACTAACCGGCTGAGTTGGAATTTTCTTCAATAATCTTCTTAGAAATTGGTCTTCAAGTCACTCTCCTGACAATAAAACAAACAGACTCAAACCAGTAGCACAGTCAGCTTCAGAGTGACAGCAGTGCCAGTCAACGGCCACATAGATTTTCAAAGGAACTGAGATTAGAATTTTTATGAGGAAGGTGGACGTTTTTAAATTGCTCTCACTGACACATTTTTTTACACCACACAAACAAATTTCACACAGCATCTTCAGGAGGATCTTGTCTCTCTGTTTACATAGGTGATGAGAATTACAGTCTGTTTGGTGTCATTTTCAAAGCACAATGTGGGAACCTTATCAAAACAGGAAAGCCAGGATGAGCAAGGCTGTATATCAACAGGCTCAACCTAGTTTTTCAGAATAAAAGCCCCAGGCGGTAACTGTTTCAGTAATAGTAACTTAACAGGGAACTCAGGATAAGGCTTTTTTCAAAGTAAAAGCCCCTGCAAAGTAACTATCAACTTGTGTAACCCGGCTGCTCCAAATACGTACTGCATGGTTATTATCGTGGGTGGCATTAGCTCAGTCCATGAGGACTTTGCTTGAACCGAAGGGTCAACGATTCAAGTGCAGCACGGACCATTGCATTAAGTGCCCATGAGCAAGACCCTGAAGTCCTAGCTGCTCCCTGGGTGCTGCAAAATGGCCCCCATAGGATAGGTTTAATGCACAAGACAAATTTTGCACGTGTTTTACTATGTGTGATTGTATCTGTAATCATTCATAGTTATTGAACCATTACAAACTTCAGCAATATAAGGTTTATTCAAATTTGGATTAGTTAGAACATTCCCATGTTTCCAAGTCTTCAATGGCATCACTTTTTGTTGAAAAGTGGTGGGGACATTTAAGGGCTCATGTTACGGGTGTGAAGAATGACGCGACGTGATAATTCACAATGTTGGAGTCATGCGAACATGACAACAAGATACTCCTTTACTATTTAGAAGAAATTATCATTAATGAAATATGGGGATCCTCCCACAGAAGATTTTGAGCATTTAACTCTTAGTTTCCTTCATTCTAGAGACATTTCTGCACCAATTTATACTGGAAATGTCTTTACTTAAATGAAGGGGAACAAAATTCAGGTGGTCTGTGACAAGAATCCAAATAAATTATTTATCAGAATATAATGCAGTAATCAGCAGCTTGTTTTTTATTTACTATTTTGGACAAGGCAGATCTGCTTCTTGTCTATTTAAATTGCATTTCATGTTTTCTTATTGTGCAAGTAAACCTTTCTTTTTAGTATTTTTATTTGTTATTATAACAGTTCTTGTTGCAAGCAATTTTTCAGAAAACATTTAAATGCTTTCAAAAAGTGATGGGGACATGTCCCCAGCATCCCCAGTGTAACTGATATCTACCAGTCTTCATAGTCCTTTTAGCTAATTCTTCATGCAAATTAAAGCCAGCAATGAAGTTTAGTGTCAGCATTTCAACAATCCTTAAATTATTCCACGTCTTTAATACATTGGTATTATTTGTATATATTTTTCAAGCCAGAAATCTAGTTTAGCGCAAGCTAATTAGTTAAGTTCAATTGTGCTTGATGTGACAATTAAAGGCATATAATAAAGACATATAATTCTGCAACTTAAAACCATCTAAACAATTAAATGTATTTATTACTTTTAGTCTGTCCTTGTAGTAAGAATGTTTTGAAAGCATGCAATTTAAGGAAAATTTGTGGATTTATTTTAAGCGATTCATGGGACATGGGACCTCTTTTATTCAGGGATACGTGGATAGATTAAATAAACAGATACACCACAGAAATTGAAACCTGATTAAAAAAATGTTTGAGGTCACTGTACCAACACCGTGTGAGTACAGATTTGTCTGCAAAACTTTAACTGAGGAGAAGAAGTACATCTGTTCACTGAACAGTTAGTCATCCACGAGCAAAGTGAGCCCTCCTCCATGATCCTTAAATCCGTTTTTCACTGAATATGGCAGAAATTGGGGAAAATAAAGACTCAACAAATGCAAAGTTAGTTTCTGTAACTGCAAAAAATAATTTTCAGGCTGTTAGCTGAGAGAGGGGTAAATGTTTGTCTGTTATAAAACATTTTGTGTTTGAGTTTCTTAAGAAATGAATGATGATCCTCGCATATAAATATCAGGTAAAAATAGCGAAGACAAACAGGTAAATATAAATACAAAATTACTGTATTAAACTATGTTTGTTTTATGTTTTCAGAGTCTCAGTCACAACTAAGTGGTAAGTCAAGGCTTCACTGTCTGTCATTGGGAAATTTTAAACATGTTTTTGGCATTTAAAAAGCAAATGTAAAAAATAGCTTCTTTATTGTTATTATGTCCCCACTTTGTCTTTGTCTCTCTCCTCAGTGTGTGGTAAACCTCCATTCAACACCAAGATTGTTGGAGGACAGGTGGCCTCTGCAGGCAGCTGGCCCTGGCAGGCCAGTCTGCGAACCTCTGGGTTCCACTTCTGTGCAGGAACCCTCATCAACAATCAATGGGTGCTGACTGCTGCTCACTGCTGCGCAAGGTAAGCATTGAGGGTAGGGCTGCATTAAAAAAGAACATGCCATATAGTTGCGTAAACAGCCTGTCTAAGGCCGTGGTTCCCAACTCGGCAGCAGGAATCTCTCCAAGGGGTTGCTGTGTGTGTGTGTGAAGGAGCCGACAGAGAGCAGACAGAGACTGCAGCCTGATGATTTTCTTATCCATTGCGTTTCAAATTAAATCAGATTTGACGCTCGAGACATAATGTTACATCAATGTTACAATGTTACAGGACCCGCTAGTCTTGATAACAGTATCGATAACCATGAACCTTATTGATTTTCAAGGTTTGAAAAGTTTTGGTACCGGGTCCTTTTGGAACCAGGTCTTGATCCCCATCCCTACCTGTGATGATGTGTAGCAAGCAGACAATGATTCATTTTGAGGGGTAATCAGCCAAAAAGGATGGTTACTGTTGCTCTAAGAGGCAGGGGAGAAAATTAAAGATTATTCTAGAAAAAGTTTAGGATGCATTTGTGGGTTAATTTTTGACGTAAGTAGCTCTGGAGCTCAAGATACACGAGTGTAGCTTTGGATGGAAGTCTTTTATCAACCACATGCCCTTTTATTGGATAGCCGTTATTGATTGGAAGACAGATAGACCTAATTAAACTCAAGTGTATCACTGCCACAGTTTCAATGTGATTTGTTTTATGACTGAATCTGTGTTCACTGTAGGCTTGAACAACAAAAGCAGCAAAAACAACTTTCTTAATTTATTAAAATTATTTTTTCTTTTCTGTTATTATTTCCCCCATTAAATTTTATAATGGAGACAATTAAAGTCAGCAAGAGTCGGAAAGTCTGTCTGTCAGCAAGAAACACTTCTTACATCATTTATTGTCAATTTTACTCAGTCACTGAGGCTGATCATTCCTGAGTATTGAATTTACAATCAATCAATCAATAAATACAGATTCAGATAATGAATAAATATAAAAACATTCTGCCCGTAGAAATGATTCTGTGCCTCTGAGCAGGACACAGTATAGCTACAGACTGCAGGTTGTTGTTCCTGTGCAGGTGTTTGTTAAACAGGCAACGGCTACAGAGAGAAGGCCTGAACATGCTGCTCTGCTGTGATAACTGTGGGCCTTTATTAGTATCATTAAGAGACTTGGGGTGAACCTACTGACGAGCACTCGAATGACCAAGATGACGGAAATGTTTATAATATTAGGATACAAATTACTAACTTGTGGAAATTAAATCTCCCCGTTGCAACATTTATCAAGTTTCATAAAAACTAGACGTGGTCATAAAATGGACTTAGTGTTTGCTAAAGTGCTCTTGACCACAGTTCTGCTTTTCATGTCTTTGCTTGTTTTGTTTCTCTTCTGATTACATCAGATCAGGCGTAAGCACGAGCACTCTGACTGTGTCTCTGGGTCTCCAGAGTCTACAGGGATCAAACCCCAACCTAGCGTTGCGGACAGTATCACAGATCATCATTCATCCCAACTTTAACATTGCAACTTTTAACAACGACATCTGCCTCCTGAGGCTCTCCTCACCCGTGACTTTCACCACCTACATTCAGCCCGTCTGTCTGGCAGCCACAGGCAGCACCTTCTACAAGGGGACTCTCTCCTGGTCCACCGGCTGGGGCAATGTTGGAACTGGAGGTGGGTCAGAAAGGACCTGCATTACATTTATTTTCAGTCTGATTACAGTGGTGCCTATAACTATGTTTTCTAAGGATTCATCGAGTGATAAGCAGGTTACCAAATTAAAATATATAAAATATTTTTAGATATCATCCGGACTTGTTCCAATGGGGTTGTAGCTGAAAAGAAGTTATTCACAATAGCATTACATTTATACAAAAAAGGCAGAGTGGCAGCAGCTTTAGACAGACAGGGAGACAGATTCACACAACATGCTGGAAACTCAGGTTTAGTCCCACTGCAACATTACAGTAATATTTTTAACAGCTTGAGGTCTAACTAATCAATGCTTGTTACATGATAACGTTACATGTACTGTATTTTTCCGACGTGATACATCAGCGTTATCTCGTCTGCCGCTTTTAAGTAACTAACATTAGTATTTGTGTATCTTTCAACGGAGGTTCAGCAATGTGAGCAAAGCTAAATGTGCTGGATAATAACGAAACGGTTAGTGAGTTGGACTAAATATTACAAATGCAATTGTTGTCACACTTTATAAAATTTAGACCGCACTATGTAACGTTACTTTGGTGCATGGGTCTTCCTCTGTTTTGTTCTTCTGGGCTGTTTTGTTGCAGTATTGTATATTATGTGGGTCATGTAAGTTACAGCGACTGAGACAGTGGAGAAGCTGTGTACCTGAGTATAGTTAAAAAGATAATAAATCTAAATTGAACTTTACAAAGCAAACAGCGACAGATCCGTGCTAAAGTACATTAGTTGGCTGCTCCTGCTTTGCATTGAGAGTCTTCAGCCATCAAGCTCTTCTATTGTGGAACCAGGTTCCAGTTTGGGTTTAGGAGGCAGACACCATCTCCATATTAAAGAGTAGGCTTAAGACTTTCCTCTTTAATTAAGCGTGTAGTTAGGGCTGGCTCAGGTGAGTCCTGAACTGTCCCTTAGTTTTGCTGCTATAGACCTAGACTGCTGGAGGACTTCCCATGATGCTCGGATCTCCTCCATGTTACAAACTTACTTCTTCTCTCTCTTTTAGTTTTCTGCTCTCACCTCCCTCTCCTCTCTCCTTCTGTTCTGTAGGTGTTTCTGGCTTCGGAGCTGTGTTGTCTAGCTCTGTGGTTGCGGGCTTCCTGCTGCCCTGGTGTTCCTCTGTGTAGCCACAGCCACAATAAATACAATTATTCCAATTTTTATTATCACTAACTAGAATTATATATGATACTATTCATTTTCTGTCTGCCCCTAAACCACTTACTTACACTTCTATGTGTAAATTGTGTTGCATCACCCCCTCGCCCTCGCTCCCTCTCTTTTAATATCCAATGCTCTTTGTGGCTCTCTCTCTCCGTAAACCCAAAACTGATTGAGATAACCACCAAACGTGAGTCATTTTTCCATTCGAGGTTTCTCTACCTCCTAAAAGAGAGATTTTCCTTGCGTCAGTTGCCAAGTGTTACTAATAATATAAAGAGTAGAGTGACATTCTGAGCTTGTTCAATATGAAAAGTGAAATGAGATAACTTTTGTTATGAATTGGTGTTATATAAATTTAATTTGAAGTACTGGAAATGTTTTGCAGCTTGGTGGGGGACCTGTCCTTTGGTTTAAAGCTTTAGATATTCATTGTCCCTTTAATGGGCTAAGATATTGTAAAACCACTGACATGGTCCTTTAAGTTCAAGTAGTGAGAATGTCTGTTTGATCCACAGTGGAGCACCTGGAAACACTTGAGGTGTGCCACAGATCACTGATGTTTATTAAATTGCCCATTTTGTGTGGAACCATTTTAAAAGATGTGAACACTTGTTTATTTAACTAAATTTGTTTCTCTTCAGTTTCCCTTCCTTTCCCACAACACCTAATGGAGGTGCAGCTGCCGATTGTAGGAAACAGAGAGTGTAACTGTAACTACGGAGTGGGTGTGGTCACAGACAACATGATGTGCGCAGGGTTCAGTGCTGGAGGGAAGGGCATCTGTCATGTGAGCATTTTTACACCTGTATTTGTGTCAGATTTGACCTTCTGCAAAGATTCCTTCTCCTAAATGTTTCTGTCCTTTAAGGGGGATGGAGGAGGTCCGCTGGTGAGCAAGCAGGGCGGTCGCTGGATCCAGGGGGGAATCGTGAGTTTTACCAGTAGTCTGGGCTGTGCCGTGCCTAATCGCCCATCAGGCTACACCCGAGTGTCCCAGTATCAGTCCTGGATCAACAGCCAGATCACCAGCAACCAGCCAGGCTTCCTCACCTATATCTCCACTGGGACTGATGGTGACCTCAGCGTTAGCTGCCCTGGCCTGCCACTATCAATACCCCAAGGTCTTCTACAAACAAACAGTTTTATATTTTGTTTCAGAATATGTTTGAATGGAGATGTGTTTATTTATGTTGTACATAATGAAGTTCATGGCAGCATCATGGTTGTTTATAAACCAACAACGTTATGCAACTGAAATCACAGGAGTACGACTCTTCGTAAAGAGTAAGCCTGACTTCATGTATAAAATCAGTGGAGGGCCCCTTTAACTTCTGCTACTGTCTTCATTGTGACATTAAGACATCATCAGGGACTGGAGCAATAACAGTAGTCAGAGCAGCATTAATTAAACTAATTAGCAGTAATAAGATTAGCAGCAGTAGAATAACACATGTTCTTTTCAGTCTGCCCACGCCAGAAAAACAGCCATATCGGTTGATTGTTCAAGCAGCTTATCGTGACTCGTGGTCAGAAGACGGAAAAAAAGAGGAAGACAGCTGACACATTTTGGTTATTGAAGACTTTTGAGGTCATAATGAGTTCTAGGGGAATATTAAAAACAACCGCAAACTCTTTTTCTGTAGGTGGAGAGAACAGGGTTAAAAGTCACTTATTAAACATCTTTGTTTTTGAATGAGTTTAGTAATAAAAGTATTCACAAAATTCTTCCCATGTTAATATAGCATGACACATATATTTTCAAATGAATTGCTGTTGCTGTTAGATGCTAAATCAAAGTTTCACTGTTGACTTTTTTACTTCTTCACCATCTATAATTTGGATGTTTTAAAAATGTTGCTGGATGTAAACTTTTTTAAATAGTTTCATTTTTTCTAGTATTTACTGTAAACCCATATTGCTCACCCTGTGTCTTTATTGTCTCTCTCCTCAGTGTGTGGTCTGCCACCATTCAACACCAAGATTGTTGGAGGACAGGTGGCCTCTGCAGGCAGCTGGCCCTGGCAGGCCAGTCTGCAAAGGTCTGGGTTCCACATCTGTGGAGGAACCCTCATTAACAACGACTGGGTGCTGACTGCTGCTCACTGCTGTGCAAGGTAAGCACTGAGGGTAGGGGCGTGACAAAAAACAACATGCCATGCAGTCCTGTAAACAGCCTGTCTAGTGGTTCCCACCCTGGGAACCTTTCCAACTATCTATCATCAAAATCTATGTTGTTTCAGTTTGTGATGACGGGTAGTAAGCAGACAATGCTTCACTTTTTTGTCCCCAGCCAACAAAGTTGAGAAGAACTGTTCTTAGAGGCAGGGGAGAAAATGAAAAAGATTCACTTAAGCAAGAGTATTGGCTGCATTTTAGGGTTCATTTTTGCCCTATCTAGCTCTAGAGCTAACCAGAAGTGGTATGACGGGCAGAGCAAAACTCTGGTTAAACCAGCTTAAATATTTAATATATTAAATATCTAGGCGTACATATTTCCTCAAGGCAGTCAGAACTGAGAGGGATAAACTACGAGCCTCTACTTAAATCAATAGAGGATGACCTTGTGCAGAGAGACAACACTGCCCGGATCGCTCATGGCAAGTGTCACCACCATAAAAATGATGGTCCTGCCTAAAATCAACTACCTGTTTTCAATGTTACCCAACCCACCCTCTGAGTCACTGGACTCAAACAACTCTAAATTTCTGTCCACAACACCCACGAATCAGTTACAAAACTCTTTTCATGTTTTTGCACTGTTTTGTTTGTCTTCTGATTACCTCAGATCAGACGTAAGCACGAGCACTCTGACTGTGTCTCTGGGTCTCCAGAGTCTACAGGGATCAAATCCCAATCAGGTGTCTCGGACAGTATCACAGATCATCATTCATCCCAACTATAACTCTGTAACTTTGGACAACGACATCTGCCTCCTGAAGCTCTCCTCACCGGTGGCTTTCACCACCTACATCCAGCCCGTCTGTCTGGCAGCTCCAGGCAGCACCTTCTACAAGGGGACTCTCTCCTGGGCCACCGGCTGGGGTAGAATTGGAACTGGAGGTGGGTCAGAAAGCACCTGGATTACATTTATTTTCAGAGACAGTATAACTATAATGGTGACAACAACTGTGTTTTCAGAATTTCCCATGTAAAAATGTAGTTCCTCCTTTACCCAGGGGAGCAACAAAACCTTCCTGTAACTAACCGGCTGTAGGGATCCTTTCATCATAATCTGTCTGTGACATTAACACAGTTTTGTGAATAAGTTTAAATATTTTACAAGTGGTGAGTGGAGTAGGGCCAACATGGAGGACAGCTCTCCATGTGTCAACAGGCAGGTAGGAAGGGGTACGAGCACATTCACTGACAGCAACACTCAGCACAGAGTGAGTCATGGAGAAGTGGGAGACGTTCCGCAGATAGAACCCAATGAAAGAAAAAAGGGAAGGCCAAGAAGTGCAAATGTCTTCCTCTGTGCAGCTCCATAGAGTTTGAGATTCCTCTGGTTGAGTGCGCTCTGATGCCCTCCAGAGCTTCCATCTCAGAAGACAGATAAGCCTAAAACTTCACACAGCCAGCGAGATGGGAGCTGCGCAGACAGGTGAACCCACAAAGATTGTTCCCTGTAATCAACAAACAGGCGCTGGGAACGGTGGAAAATGGCCGTGCACCTAACGTAACAAGACAGAGAAAGAAACTGTCCTAAGTTATATACCTCGATCAGAAAGAGTTTGGCCTTAAGGCTGGATCAGGGTGCAGGACAGCCATCGCTCTGAATTCTGAAGCGTGAAGGGGCCACAGAGAGAGCAGATGGATTACTAACTCTTTAAGCTGATGTCAAAGCAAAAAGCAAGGCAGCATTTTTTTATTCAACGGAATGTAATTTTGAATAATCTTTATTGTCATTTAGCTCAGATATAGTGACATTTGTGTGGCTTCTTTCAGATAAGGTAAAAAGAAAACCATAACAATAGAAAGGTTAATCAAATAAATCAAATAAGTAAATAACTAACTAATAAATTAAATATATAAATAAGCAGTGCCCCAAAAACAGCAGTGATAACAGCTTACAATTAGAAAAATATGGTCTTAGCTGCTTAATGTTGTAATGCTTAAAGTGAAGTTAATGCAGAGAACTTTAAGACAAAGGGGAAAAAGTTCTTTTTTTTTGTCAGAGCCTTTGATTTATACGAGTGTTTGTCACATTAATGTGAGTATATGTTTGTGTTTCACATTCTTTGTGTGTGTGTGTGTGTGTGTGTGTGTAACTCCACGGTCGTGACTCAAACTGGCGCCCTCGAGTACGTGCTAATTAGGACAAATCCCATGGACGATAGCGTCAGTTGCTAGTAGGTCTCTTAATGCGTCGGGGAGTGAAGGCAAGGCAAGTTTATTTGTATAGCACATTTCAACAACAAGGTAATTCAAAGTGCTTTAGATAAAACATAAACGCTACAGGGATATAAAAAAAAACTTTTATATAAAAAAATAAATAAAACATCAAAACAGGCAAGTCTCTCTCACCTTTACTTATTTTAATCCTTTGATTCCCCATCTCCCACTCTATCCTTTTTTTTAACACTTAGGGACTCTAACCCTTATTCCTGAAATACAGTCGTCAGTATAAACCAGAATTTTTCACATGCACTTCCCGTCCTTGTATACCAGGGCTATTTAATTGGGCCAGATTTTAAAACCAGCACATGGAGATGGGCCGGACATTTACGCATGAGTTGGGATGGGTATCATCCTCCTCCACCCTCCTCCAGCCCCCCTCTCTACCAGCTACTGCTGGGCTGGTTTGTGTCAGCCAGCAGCTGAGTTTATATGTGCCAGATTTTAATGAACATACCAAACTAAGCTAAACAGTTCGTAAAAGCAGACAGCTTTAACTTTAGTTTGTTTGTAACAATTAGCTGTTAGCTGAGCTATCGCTGGGCTTGTGTAAACCCCAAACAAAAAAGCTTTTTACTAAACTGAATTTGTGTCTCTTCAGTGCCCCTTCCTTCCCCAGGAAACCTATTGGAGGTGCAGCTGCCGATTGTGGGGAACAGACAGTGTAGCTGTACCTATGGACCGAGCATCATCACAAGCAACAAGATGTGCACCGGGTTTAGTACTGGAGGAAGGGACATCTGTCAGGTGATCATTTTTACGCCTGTGTTTGTGTCAGATTTGACCTTCTGCAAAGATTCCTTCTCCTAAATGTTTCTTTCCTTTAAGGGGGATGGAGGAGGTCCGCTGGTGAACAAGCAGGCCGGTCGCTGGATCCAGGGGGGAATCACGAGTTTTACCAGTAGTCTGGGCTGTGCCCTGCCTAATTTCCCATCAGGCTACACCCGAGTGTCCCAGTATCAGTCCTGGATCAACAGCCTGATCACCAGCTTTCAGCCAGGATACTACACCTACACGTCCACTGGGATTGACGGTGACCTCAGCGTCACCTGTACACCACCATGAAGCACACCCTAACGTAAGTGCCGACCCCGTCCAGACTTTGATTTTAACCACTTGTAAACCCCTTGGAAAGCTTTAAAATTATATATTGATCTTCTTGTTAAAACACAATCTGGGATAGTATTAGGATTGTTCAGAAATTTGGCACTTTGTTTGGTTGTTGTAACATCTACTAATACTCTCAAGACGCAGAAGTCTTCCTATTAACACCCTGAAATGTAGGGTGAGGCACAGAACATAGCCCACTAACACACTAACAAGGTGAAAGTCTACCTCACCAACTGAAAGGAGATTGCCTTTTGTGTTTACACACAATTTTTAAACACAATTTTGGATCCCAAAGTTGATTGTGGTGCACAACATAACGGTCTCATACCAGCACAAGAAGATCTTCCACAGTTCTTTTACTGAAAGAAGGAACTCCTGAAGTTCATCAATGACGGTTGATTACTGGTGTTTTAATATCTAGCACACTTCACGCTGCCACTGTGTTCAATGTCATAAGCAATACTTGACCAAATACATGACCAAAATCCAGGACCACGGTGTGATTGCAAGTTCACTGGTAGGTTCTGTGTGATAAAGTATTAGTCACATTGTATCTAGCCCCGTCAATCCCAGCCACACACATACACATACGCTCAAGGTGGAAAGAGTACTAAAATGTTCTACTTAAGTAAAAGTACAATTACTTTGATGAACCTTTACTTAAGTGCATGTGAAATTACTGGTGTAAGAATCTACTCCAGTAAAAGTAAAAAGTAGGTCATTTAAAAAGAACTTACTTTTACTGATTTAATATATTATTTGTACTCATTATAGCTTACTTATTTTATTAAATTGTGGTGTTTAGCCTTTTGATAAGGGCATGAAACCAAATTGCACTTTTGACAGATACTTAAGTAAAAGTAAAATAACATATTGACTTTAAAGTAAAGTACAAGTACACAAAAAACTACTCAATTAGTATGTATTGTATTGTATTTGATGCTCTGTTGATGCTTGTATGTTGTTCCTGAAATGTAAGTCACTTTGGATAAAAGCCTCTGCCAAATCAGTAAATGTAAATTACAGGAACGGGAGTAACTTAACAACATGCTTTCCTCCTCTGCATACTTTTTACTTGCATCCACATGTCTGAAACCTACAGCTTGTTGTCTGAACTCCAGCTGTGCTCAACACCAATTTGGTGCAGACAGGTAGAATGTACTGGCTATTGAATATTGAAAACATGTAGCTGCTGTTTTATGTGGTTGTCTTGGTTTGGGGAGCAAGTGCTGATTTTGTGCTGTGTCCTAACCAACCATGCAAGATCTTGATTGTAATGGCGGAGGATGAATCCTGTGTTTTAGTGACTCCAGTGAACTTTTTAGGACTCCAAATTTCTGTCAATTTTAGGGTTTTCAACTGACCTAGACCGCAGCTTTTTTCTTAATCAGCTCTTGTAATTCTTACTACTAAAATAAATTCTTACATTTGATCATTTTTCCATAATTGCAATCAAAAACCAAGCTGATTGCTGTTCAGGAAAAGTTGCATAGTCTCGCTTTAAAATGAGCACATTTCAAGGCCTTTATAGAAAAATGCTCATTCACTTTACACAAGAGAGCTTGATGAGAAGACAAAAGGAGGTATTGATCATGTAGCGCATTTGGAGAAACTAAGAAAAAAATTACAGAAGGAAATTTTAAGTTGGACTTGAACATATCTGTCCTGTTTGTTTGTTCAGGGTGATCTGGTGGTGAGCAGGGCGGCTCTGGTTCCAGGCAGCAGTGTTATTAGTAAACAACGCCACCTTCCTGGCTCAGACAGTGGAGACTCCACCAGCACCACCAGCAACAGCACAGCTGCCGGCGATTTACTAACTACCAGCAGAGGCGCTCCTACTCAATCCCCGTTCTTCTTCTTTCTTATCTTCTCTGTGTGATAGATTCTGGATGGCAACTGCTTTCTCTCTATAATGAAGGATGTAAAATCAATAAATGAATGACAATGAATTGTTTAAGCAGCACCGAGCAAACGTAGGTATATGTAGCCTGGCATACCAGCGTGTCATTGTTTTTGAAGGATGTTATGCAAAGACAAATCGATGATTTTGCATTTAAATAAAACTACCCCAAAAATAAAATCTGACAGTGTCTCATGCTGTCATGGAATTTCTTACAGTAGTTAACAAATGGATTAAAAAACTCAGGTCAAAGGAACACATGTCCATCATCTGCCTATTTGTGCTACTGTACCTTAATGTACAAATACATCTAAAGTGATACCCAAAACATTAGCTCTAAAAATACTTTCAATAATTAATAATAATTTACTTTGAAATATAAATGTCAATTTTAAGTCTTGTCAAGCTTTGCCGTGGCAACAACTGTACTGTAGATGTGAAAGTGCTAAATAATTAAGCCCTTTGATTTTTTAAATCATATTAACCTGCTTTTTAATTAAGGGAAATCCTTTCTGTTTGCTTTATGCTTTGAGCACATGTATGCTACTGCTCTCAGTTTTATTTCTGAACTCAACTAATGCAGTCTAATCCAACAGTCCTGCAGTAAATCCTCCTTCATGATGGTTATTATCTGTTTGTGTTGAAACTGTTTTAGAGATGTGTTGATTCAACTGTATGGTCATTTTGGAAGCTGCAGTTTTTGTTTTTGAAGCCACACGTGTATCAAAATAAAGTAATTGAACAAATGAAGATACACTCACATGTTTTTGCTACAGTTGCTAAAGCGTATATGGTGCAAAATACACTCACACACTCATATCAAAAAATGTGAACACATAGATGTAATTATCATTGAGACAACATGTCCAAAACTGACATGTGTGCTAATGTTGGCTAAATCTCAAGGTTAGCTAAACATAGCACTTCAGCTGAATTATCAAAAGACACGTTTCCTTTCTCCTCTAAATTGTGCAAAATGACCATTTTGAACATTCAAACCTAACCAGGGCTCTTAAGTCTCACACATTCACAGTGAGACACACGCATTTCAACCAGTTCACACACTCACACGCCTCTCCTTGTATTTCTCAAGCTGAGAAGTTGAGTTCATAGCCTTATCTGTAGCCTACTAAATACCACCATTAAGCAGATCAGAAATTAAAATGTGTTGTTTTCCGAGTAAATTCCCTGATCGGCTTTAAGTAAAAGTATGTAAGTAGGCTATAAGCAGGAAAATGTAGAAGTAGCCTATTAAAATAAAAGGAGCCTACTCAAAGCAGAAAGGAAAATGTCCCCAATGACTGTTATACTATTATATATGAGATTATTAGATCATTATTCCTCATGCATTAATGTAGTTAGTTGAGGTTGAACTATTTTGTATCAGACTGAAATGAATGATTATTTTTATTATGCATTAATCAGTTGATTATTTTCTCCATTGATCGATTGTAATAAATTCTGAAAATAGTGAGAAATGTTGTCACAGTTACCCAGGGCCCGAAGTGACACCTTCACAATACTTGTTTTGTCAATCCAAACCCCAAAATGATTAAAAATACGTTAAAATAATCAAAAGTAAAAAACCATTAAAGGTTTGGAACCATTAAAGGTTTTTACATAAACAATGACTAATTGAAAAATTGCCAATTAAATTTCTGTTAATTAGCCTAACTGATGTAGTTCTACTAGTTGGACTTGTACAAACTGTTAAGTAATTTGTTTCCATCAAAGCATCCTATTTTTTAAATTTTCATACGTTTTGTGTGTACAAAGCTTATTTTTTAAAGTAGCTTAACTAGTAACTGAAGCTGTCAGATAAAGTAAAAAGTATATCCCTTTGAGATGTGGTACAGTAGAAGTAGAAAGTGGCATGAAAAGAAAATACTCAAGTTCAGTACAAATACCTTGTGTATTGTGTACAAATACCTTAAGTACAGTACTACTTTGTTACTGTCCGCTATTCGGCTTAGCTTTGGCTACCTGAAACTAAGGGAAGGACCAGAGAGGTTTTTCTTTGTTTTGGCTCTGGACGGAAAGCTATTATCCATCATGATGGTGAAAATGGCCCGCCTGGAGCCATAGTGCTTCAAGTGGGAGCCCCCTGACCCTGTCATCAAGGCATTAAAATGTGCAACAAACAATTACAACACAAAACACCATTCATAAGCTGAAATGTGTAGCTAAGTAGGGTAAGTTCTGCCATCCTACTGTACAGCACTGCTGTTCATTGGGCTCGTTTGGGGCCAATTTTCTTTTTAGTTTTGATACATTCAAATTTTTTGAAATATAAGTATATATATAAATAGTCTTTTATAAGATTTACCTGTTGTTGTAATTTCTATTTTTTCGGGTCAATAGGTAAAATTTAACTGCTCTTAAAAACTTGAGAGAATTGGCTGGGCCCGATGGGTTGCAAATGTAACTGCAAATGTTTGCGTGGTTCCTCCTCTAACAGGTGTTATCTCACTCCACACTTTTGATAAAACTTGAGAGCCCTGCCTTGTTTTTCTCATGCTGAAAAGTAGGCCCAAGTTAAGTGATAACGTCCTCGAAGTTGTCCCACTACATTAAATTCATGGACGATCATTGTAACTTACTAAATGCCAGAGCCGTTAAGCCGATCAGAAATTAAAGTGTGTTGTTTCCCAGTAAGTTCCGTGACCCTGCTGAAAGCACATTTGTTACCAGGCAACATGGATGCGCGTGCACACACGGAGTGGAAGTTGGAATCGGTCTCAATAGGTGCGTCTGATTTCATGCGGCGCTGCATAGTGCTGACTTCACGTGATGCATGCTGGACTTAAAATTAGGCATGCTGGTTAGAAATTGTGTCCGACTTTCGCCAGCGCTGCAAAACGTCACCATGTTACATGACATTAAAACCTCGCAGGAGCAAGGCAGCTGCAGCTCCCCCCCCCCGAAGCCCCCTACACTTACCATAACCATCAGAAATGTTACTGCCTAAACCTAAGTCACTGACTTCATGCACCGGCCAACCCTACAGTTGTGCACATTGGCCGTGAGGTTAGCCTCCTTTGTGTTGCTGCGACGTAGCAACCGGTGGCGTTTCATGCGGATGCTGAAGGCAGAGCTGCCAACTCTCAAGCACTGAGCGTGAGACTCATGCAATTGACACTTTTCACACGCACTCACACCATACATCAATTTTCTCACGCATTGGAAAAACTACAGTAATGCAGCCTATAACTAATTGCATCGACACGGCGCGATTACACTCCACCCAGCAATACCTGCGGACGCTGTGACAGGAATCAAACGAATCCGTTATCGTGCAGTGAGTGGCAGACAGTTTGTGATCACGAAATGTAGCTGGTAGAGTTTTGCAATATAAAAATGTATTATCTAAAGCACAGCCTTGCTCTGTTGGTAATGTGAGCTGCACAAAGCTGCCTAAGTTAACATAAGGATTTGTGGTGAAGTGTTTTCAGTTAGTTTCGTTTTGCACAGGTCTTATCCATACGGTCACAAACGGGTTCTGTGTCTGTCTGTCTGGGATTCTGTCATATCAGCAGAGCAAATAATGAACAGCAGATTATAGGGCGTGGAAATTTTCAAAATATTGTGATTAAATGAGGACATTATTTTAAAAATCTTTTTGGAGATGTCAGATTACACAGATATGCGGAATAGATGCAAAAAGTTTTGAAGATTCAGTCCAGGAGTTTCTCACTGAAATAAAATTAATTAATTTATCCTTGAGGTGAAAAGGTGCCACATTTAAAGAGGACCTTTCCCAAACAAAGACACAAAGGGGAGGGAGGAGTAAATCATGAAACAAAAAGAAATACAGAATACTTGAAATCCTACAGAATTAAATTCTGGTATATTTTATATTTTAAATTGTCACCTGATATGATATAACTTTATTAATCCCCCATAGGGGAAATTTTCAGTCGACTCTACACTAAGCTCGTGCCTGGATAGCCTGTGTCCTCTATCCACCAAGTCTGCTCGACCAAACCAGCCCCACCCATGGCTAAATGATACCATCCATGGGCTCCATACTGATCTCAGAGCGGCTGAAAGAAAATGGCGAAAAACCAAAGACCCCGTTGACCTTAAGGGCTACTAATTGCTCCTATCCTCCTTCCCAACAAGCATCAGTGCTGCCAAAACTGCGTTCTATAATGACAGAATAAGCAGTGCCACTGACTCAAGGAAATTATTTTCAAATTTTAAAGTGCTACTAAATCCTCCTCCACCTCCACCACCCACAAACTTGTCTGCTGATACCTTTGCTGCCTTCTTCACAGGCAAAGTGGAGGCTATAACTAGCCAATTCTTTGAAAAACTCAAACTCAACCATTGTAGCAGTCCTACATCTTTTGCTCTGCCCTTCCAGGTCAGTGGTTGTTCACTCTCCTCGTTTACTCCTCTCACAGAGAGCAAAGTATCAGAACTCTTGACCCGTAGCCGTCCAACTACATGCCCACTGGACCCAATTCCTACGAATCTCCTCCAAGCGTGATCTCCTACTGTGGTCCCGACAATCACTCGTGATAAATACTTCTCTGGCTTCAGGAACCTTCCCGACCACTTTCAAAAGGGCCTGTGTTACACGCTTGCTCAAAAAGCCCTCACTTGACCCAATTTAAGTTGAGAACTATCGACCAGTGTCTCTTCTACCTTTTTTATCCAAAACTATTGAACGGGCAGTATTTAAACAGGTCTCAGAATTCTTCTCAGGGAATGACCTCCTAGATCCATTTCAGTCTGGTTTTAAGAGTGCCCACTCTACTGAAACGGCTCTTCTGTCTGTAACAGAAGTCCTAAGGTCAGCTAAAGCTGGGTGTCATGATTGATGACCAGCTGTCCTTTTCAGACCATGTTGCTACTGTCTCTCGGTCATGCCGCTTTTCTCTATACAACATAAGGAAAATCAGGCCCTACCTCACTCAGTACGCCACCCAGCTCCTGGTACAGGCCATGGTTATCTCTCGCATCGTCTATTGCAATGCCCTCCTAGCAGGTCTCCCAGCTTGTGTGGTGAAACCCTTACAAATGGTTCAGAACGCAGCAGCACGTCTGGTCTTTGATCAGCCCAAAAGGACTCATGTCACTCCAGTGACCTCCACTGGCTCCCCGTGGCCTCCAGAATCAAATTCAAGTCACATATGCTGCATACAGAGTGACTACTGGGTCTGCACCCATCTACCTAAACTCAATAATACAAACTTACGTTCCTTTTCGGCCGCTACGCTCCTCCAACGAACGCCACCTGGCTCTGCCATCCCTTCACATAAAGCAATCCCAGTCCCGGCTATTCTCATCTGTGACACCACCATGGTGGAACGAGCTACCACACGCCCTCAGAGCAGGGGCGTCCCTCTCTAACTTCAAGAAGCTCTTGAAAACTCTTCCGAGAACACTTCCTCTTATAACACCTCTAACTCCTAACCTCTAATATGCACTTCCTGTGCTCTTTTTCTTCTATCTCCTACAATGATCTTGTATTGATTGCACTTTTTTGTTTTGATTGCACTTTTTGTTAACTCTTACTTCCTTCCCTTGGTATTTACCCCATTGATGTGATATGTACTGCGAGCTCTTACTAGTATTTATTGCTGCTCTTACTAGTATGTATTGTCAGTTGTAGATCTGTAGTTGATGCTCTGTTGATGCTTGTATGTTGTTCCTCAAATGTAATTCGCTTTGGATAAAAGCGTCTGCCAAATGAGTAAATGTAAATGGAACGAACAGATGCAGTATTATAGCAAAATCAACAC